ATGGGGCTATAGCTAGAGATTTACGCTTCTGAACGAATGGTAATACTTCTAAGAAAAGATTCTATCCAGCGAATGAGGTCGGATATCAATTTATCTCCTTATAACCGAGGAGATCCCCTGTTGTCTGTGTCCATGAACTCTTCAATGGAGTCATCCTAAACAGGCTTGTTAGAACGTTAAACTATGAATGCAACAAGCAGGGTTCCAAAAATGATCTTTATTACAGACCACATCCACACGAAAACGAGCTTCATGGAAGCCTATCGAAGGTACAATCTATCTCACTTTCGTCGATTTGCAGAAAACTTCTAACTCAGTTGAAGCACAAGTAGCCGTAGAAGCTTTACACAGCCAGTGCTATCCTACTCAATTTCGCAACAATCTTCATGATCTATATAGATACCTCACGATCAGAATATTACCATTTCATGACATTACTATTGACGACATATAATGGAGTGTTCGAGAAGGTGTTACAATCTCGCCATTTATTCATTTCCACCCCTCTAGACCGTCATACAAACATTGAAATGAGACATCACGGTGATAATCCATAGTGACAAATACACCATGTGTGCTTTGTTAATGACGGCGTTTATATGACACCAAACATCAGCTAAACGGAACGAAAGTCGACTGATTCCGACAACACCTGCATAATGATTGTTCACTAACTGAACATTGCGAATACGACGTTCATGAAGAAGGGATTGATTTCAAATGCCTTGTTTACACCTAACGAAATGTATATCTGCATTTGCTTGATACCTAAGTTACGTATATATGTAGTCACAATGATGAATAATTTGGTTTCAGAATTGAACAGGACGAAGCGAGTGGCATGAAGAGCAGTTAACAGCATCGAGATTGTAGTCAAGATAACAAAGAACATCTGACTCTGTGCCCACTCTTTCAACTGAACGATTGTTCATGCTCTCTGTCTTGAGCTATGCATGAAAAGCCTAGTCGCTAGGTAAGTAGGGCAGAAGATTACCTATTGTTGCCAAGGGCTTAGACGAAAGTCGACGTCAAGACTATCCCAAATCTTGCAACTGAGTGCGAAATCATGGCCTACGTCATCGGATAAAAATCAGGGACGATGCTCCACCTGTCAAGTTAATAAAGAATAGAAGAATGGGGTAGCAGTGTGTCTCAGCGAGAACCGATTAATGAGATTGGCCGACTCGATCAGCTAATGTTCCACGATAAGTATAGAAAAAGATGTGATGCTTCATAGAACAAGATATGATGCTCAACGATTTCTCACAGCAGCAAAGACCCGTTGGAGAACTCTCATATGAGATAGGAGAATCGGGACTTATAGTAGCATCCGATCGAGTAACTCGACGATCAGTGGGGACGACAAGTGATCTGAAGGTATATATGCTGCCATTTTTCAAGAAAACCAAAAATTTTTTGCGTCATTTGAGATAAGAATCCACGCTTCACTCTCTCCTGAGACGTGTGCTGAACCTATCCACTACCGACGCCCGTTTTGACACTACTCTCTCTACGCTACAACGCATCTCTCTTTCAGCGACCAACCTTCAACGGTCTGGCGTGGGTGGTCGCTGTCGACACTAAACGCACTGATGCTGACAGATATTGGGTATCGATGATCAGTCAGAATTCAGTCTATTTGGCTACAATTGTCTGTGTTATGATGTTATAATACACCCAATGATGTAAAGTGATGTGCAAAAAACCTTTTGCGTCAGGTGGTATTATAAATCAGCTACCGCTATAAGCGGTCAAACAATGAATTCTGAGCGATCATCGAAAACTAATATCTGTCAGCATCAGTGGGTTCAGTGTCAATAGCGACCACCAACGCCAGATCGTTGACGGTTGGTTGCTGGCAGATAGATGCGTTACAGCGTAGAAAGAGTGGTGGCAAAACAGGCGTTGGCTGCGCAACGGCTCAGCACGAGTCCTAAATAGAGTGAAATGTGGGTTAAAATCTCACCTGACCTTAGAAGTTTTGCACACAACTACATTACTGGGTATATTATAACATCATAACACCGCTATAGGTGTTCATATAGAATGAATTCTGATCAAATCATAAATTAATGTCTGACTTGTGATTTCGTTCCCTTTGTGAGCGCCTTAGCAAAAGGTTTCTTTGCTATGGCGCTATACTTATAACGTATATCATGATGCTTTATGTAACAATCTGACATATAGTTGCAAACCACGTTTATACAATTCCAATGCCCCCAGCTGGGTTATAAAACAATGATTGTGTTTCGAAATTTATGGAGTTTACAACTTCCAAGAATTAGCACTCGGTTGCAGCCGCAATGCTACTACAAAAATGATGAGGCATGTGAGCAAGGGAGTGTTAACGCATGCAAAGCGCAACACTGCTGTTTGCACTCATAGAGTCAGAATAGGTCTAAGAGAAAGCGAAGCAATGATCCGTTGCTGCAGTGGGTAAGGCATGACCTCGCATAAGAATGACCACTGATTCGAATCCAGTCCACCTTTGAGCTACTGATACTGTTCAACTACCTATCCGCTTACAAAAAGTTTGATTTCGATTCCTTTTGTTCCCACTGATAAAGTCCTTTAATTGTACCGAGCTATGTCACACTGTTACGCTTTTTGCGGCTAAACATTAATTTGGGAGAATATAATCTATGTTTGATTATAAACCATCATCCATACACAGATTAGTAATTCGAACATTTTGAAAGTCTTTTCAACTACGTTTTGAGCACTTTTGCACTCCACATTTCAAGTTTTAATCACAATTTATGCTGCATATATGTTCCGCACCCTAAGCAACTGTCGACAAGGTCGACTTTTCTTTATATATAATACAATAATCTCTGCAAATATTCCGTAATCTGTATAATTCCTACGTAAATGTGCGTGCCATCATTCCCAGAAATATCGCCAGACACAAACATAAGGCAATGTCCTCGATTTGTTTATCGAGTTGCAATCGTCTTTCTAAAAAGGTAATGCCACTGGCGAACGTATAATCGATGTTCTAGTGATAACCCAGCGACCTCACCCATAGGGGGTATGCGACTCCACCTTCACAGTGCATAGCCCACGATATTCACTACCGAGCCATTCAAACACTGGGGCTCATCTGGGATGCGCCCACCACCATTACCACAACCACGCCAAGCGCGGAGTGCTCTGAGTCGACATCCTCGGAACTACCAAGCCCTTAATTAGCCGTCTCGCACATTGTAATATATAACTTACGCTCTAACGTAATTTACTCGATCGTAGCTCGCTCTCTGCCACAGCTCAGTATAGCGTAACTCACTCAATGTCGTCTCCATATGACCATTAATCATTGTCGTTGTATATTGGATACTCAGTTGACCATTTCTTATTGGCCATGGTTTGTGAATGCTATATGTGCATGAAGGTTTGATTTCCAAGTTTTAGGCAGTGCTCAAATACCCGCGTGACAAATCACAATCTCAACAACTACCACAAACCACTGAACCGCTACTTCAGAAACCCTCCTCTATTATGGTATTAACCTTCTCCTTACCCTTCACAAAAGGCTCAATACGGTCCTTTACACAAATAGAACGGTTATCTTGTCGTATATTTTGTGTGTATGGGTTGAAAATGATCTGTTGTTGACTCTATTTTGGAACCGTGAAATACTTTACGACTATTAATCATCACTCAGTTCCTTCTTGAGTGAAAATAGTCTAAAAAATTTATGATGGTGGCGAGAAGAGCGGGAAATTCTTTACTGTCGTGCACTCGAAGTGATGAGAGAATTTATCATCATGCAGTTTTTTGGGTAGTCTTAATGGTGCCCACAAGGTGAGATTATTGCCTTGATGCTGCACATTCACTGACGTTTATACATGCAATTACTGTTTGAGAAAAACATACTCTGCTTCGGACAAAATGTTAAACAGAGCTCTCAAAGTCCTTTCCTATCTTACTATCAGAAATCTCGACGAACGTCTGTCGACTAACCTGCAAAACGATGACGTAGACAGTAATCAGCTTCTGAGTGGCAATTTTGAGCAGCACGCTGAGCATAGCGCTGAATGAGTATCCCAAGCTGATGTGTGCCATGAAACCGAGTACAAAATATGCCGAGCGTGCGCCAATGCCACATAATGTTCTAATGCACTGAAATGAAATTCCCCCATCAGTGAAGATTGTTAAATTGCACACAGTGGAGAAAATTTCTTTTAGCAATTACAAAAATTATTTGGAAATAGTTGATCAGTTCACCAATATGGGTATGGTGTTTATTGCAATGGAGAGTGGAGCCATCAACACTATCGTCAACTCCAAGTGATGCATCGTTGAAAAACGGAAGTACAAAATATTTTGAAGATGAGAATTTACTGACAGCGGTTGTAGTGACACGTGCAGGAACTTCTAAGAAACCACCAATGTACGTAGAAGTTTCACTTATGAGCATAATCATTTATCTTGCCTAGAACATTCTAATAATAGGCCGGGTTTACACATAGATAGGATATGTTCTACAGTATCAAAAATAGTGCATAGAAACAATAAGACTATTTAGGAAGCGCGATCATCGCTCACGACTGCAAAGCGCTTTTATGTGCATAAGCAGAATACTAGAAGAGCAATGAACAGCGATAGGGGTGAGTGCATTCTTGAGAAAGGTTTGATACGACGACTTATGTTCATACTCATGCGAATCTCATCTAAGCAGTGCGATATAAACGTGACACTGCCTCCTTCTTTCCTTGAATAGAAACAATCAACTACGGTAGGGCTGCAGAGGTCACAAAAAGTACGAGAAATGAGGATATGGTTCTCATATGATTATTTCTCTGGTTGCATGATTTCTTTTCTATCTTTAGGAATCAAGAATTATGTATTCATGAAATCCAGCCATCAAATGAGCCTCAGTCACTTCTGAATAAGACGGGAAACATGGATGATCTTGCTTTTTCTGCTGCTTTATTGGTTAGTATAAGTATATTTGACAACTAATGCGTTGTAGCGTGGAAAGAGTGGTGTCAAAACGGGCGTGAGTAGTGGAATGGTACAGCACGTACTCCCGGAAAGAGTAGGTCTGGGTCCGAATTCCACCTGACGCAAGTGCTTTTGCACACCACTCTACATTATTGGGCTCAGTATAAGTTATATTTAGTTCTTTCAGAATGGTTGCTATATAAAAAGGCTCCAATGCTTGAAAAAAACCAAATCATTGCCAAAGTTATGCATTGCGAAATGAAGGTTAGTCATAGAACCGTGTCGACTCATAATGAACATAGTAAATTGCCGCTTTCTTGTTTTAAAGTTCAAAAAGCCTACATTCATGCACTAGAAAAAAATTGTGGCAGTATTTTTTTATAGTAAACAAAATTCTTTCACAGCAAACAAAACAATGGAAAGGCACCAAACACCAAATCCTCTATGGTGGAAGAATGGATTCATCAGGATCAACGCGTACGGCATAACTGGAAAACTCATCAAGAGGAATAAAAGCCCAAAAATCTGCAAGAAAACCAAAAATGTGTTAAGTAGCACAAGAAACACGAGGAAGTAGTTTACAATATAACTCTTGAGCTACAGTCGCTCCATGTAGTTCAGAGACAGTGTTATAGCTTTCAAGTGCTGTAACACTGTGGAATTGTAGATGTACCGCAAAACCCATTTGAGAAAGTGTACTTTTTTCTGCCTGTTTTGATAAGAATGCAAGTAGATGTATTTCACTATGCAAAAGCTAATTGTAAAGGTTCAAGGAGTAAATTTCGATAATCGAGAGATTGAGGCGTTGTGGACAAGAGAAAATCGTAAAAGAGACTTCCCTTTATCGCTTCATGTTGATAAATGTTAGTATGCTATTATTATATATATGTTAATATGATGCAGATAACCACTCCTGTGAGATTTGGATTAATTTTGCATTCCATAATAAATCTTATTCGGTGTTATTCTATCTGCACCTTCCATATAATAGACCTAAATCATCATGTTTACCGCTTAGTGAGAATCTTGGAGAGGAGATTTTCCGCGAAAGATTTAGCGAACAAAACGCCGCTTCTGTTTGGACCTTTTAAATTTCTACCTGCTCTCCACTGGCTATCGATTGAATGCAGAGAGAGCAGGAAAAAGCAAAGAATCCATTATGTTCAAAATATGCACTGCACTGCTTAGCCTGCTCGAAATGGTTTAATGCTATCGAAAGAACGGTTTCTCACATTGCTAACGATTAAGGCTCAACGCCGAATGAAGCAAATTGCAGAAAAAAAGGTGGTCTGGATACCTGATGTCTTTTTACAAGAGCTACTTGACAAGGGAGGTTTACCACTGTATTTCTTTAGGTGCAAAGGCACAATATATGAAAAAATTTTCCGTTGCTCGCACTTTTTCATGAAATTTATCTCGGCTATATACTATAGCAAGTACTTGAGCGGTCATACATCCACGAAATGCTTGCATCAGAACGTCGAGCTCTTCAATTGTAACATACTTTGTGCTTTTGAAGAAATGATTTTTTTTTTGGAGTATTTTGTGCCGATGGGTTTAGACATGGCAATTTCGTGATAGTCTATCACAGTTGCCTTACGACTTGGCGATGCGTTCTTGAACTGCTGAATGTTCAGAAATACGTAGGATCCTGAGAAGTTTGTTATGCTGAGTAGATTATCACTCATGGATTGCAGATATCGGTAGAGTTTGACTAATGAGTTGCTTCTGAAATAAAGGAAATGGTTGTTCAATTGATATATTGCGAACTTTGAAGCGAATGCTGAATTACAAGTCAAAGATTGGTACCGTTCTAATATGGCGGTGCCACTTGTGGCCTCCGGTAAACGAGTAATCTTTGCTGCCATCTGACGAACGGTGTATGATTATGTGATAGCTTAAATCAAGTGAATTAAGGTATATATTATTTCTTATATTGCTTGTTTTCAACGCCTTACCAATCAAAATGAGATTTTGTTTCACATTTGACGAACCTTTTAGTACTGGTCTATTACGACGGCGCCACTTGAGGCCTTCGGTAAAAGCGTATTCTTTGCTGTTATCTGACAAATATATCACTGCTTGATAGCTTAAATCAAGTCAAATTCACAGGTGTGCTTTAATTCTCACATTGCTTGTTTTTAGCGTCGTATCAGTCAAAGTTAGATTTTGTTACAAATTTGAAAATTTCTAGCTCGATAAACGTTTTTTATAATGAAATTAAAACCGTTAGATAGAGCAGATTTTTCTGAATAAGAAAATGTGCTTGCTCTTCAAGAAGAACTTCTTAAAGCTCTGCAATTCGCACAAGAAGAGTGGGTTTGAAAAGTATGAGTGTGAAACTCAATATTCTTTCGATCGTAAAAAGCTCGAAGAACTCCTTTCCGAAAGCGAAGTATACTATTATAATCGGAAAGATTTTCTCCATCTAGCGATCAAAAGCTTATTACAACAAAATCTTTATTCAGTGAGAAATCTTTGAAGAGCAAAATCTTAATTTGACTGGTACGGCGCCAAACATAACGTATTTGAGAAACTAAACATGCCATTGCAATCACTTCATTTGAGCTATTGATAAACTGCAAAAACGTTTTGCAAAAGCAAAAAATACGTTTTTATCGAAGACCTCAAGTGGCACCGCCACAATGGAACGGTACTCAAGGCTTTTGAAAGTTCCAATTCTTTTTTATGAATTGCAGACTTTTAAATAGGTGCAACACATGCGAAAATCACGACAGAAATTAAAATTTCAAAATCAAAAGAACTAAATTTGATTATTTGGATTTTCTCACAATGATGCCGCTCCCTCAAACGCAATCGTTGGACTACTGCTGAGTAAAACCAATCTGTCTAATTGTCTGGCCATTTCGACTCTTCACGAAGAAGGAAGAACAAAGAAGCGCCTGGTGAACGCATTTTGTAATCGGCTAGTATTTGTAGATCTTAATGATTCCTTATTTGAAATAATAATGTTCGCTAAGAACTGAGATGAATAATTTAAATCTAAAGAGCGCAATTATTTTTAGCATGTATGCATTGAAATCGATTTATATGACAACGAATATATCAGAGTACATGTTTTAGGGCGTTTTTCATAAGTAAAAAACGTAATAGAATGTGACATTTGCGTGCATTAATCATTTCCGTTTCAAGACGCCGCTCTTTTTTGACGAGAGCCATATGATCTCGGTACAGTTCTGTCATTTTCTGGTAAAATATAGCCTGGTCGTTATGATTTTTCATAATGTATCAGGACTCCCACAAATGTGTAGAATTGCACACTACAAGTCGCTTGGGCTAAATCGTTTGCTAGTATTTGAAAAAATCTCTGTTTCTAGAAGAAGTTGGAAAGCATTAGTTCCAGAATTATACACCCTGCAGTGCTAATGATGAAGATGCATTTGGAAATTGAAGCTAATACCATTTTATGAACGCTCGACGACTGTAGAAGGAACTCGATTTTTATTTTACCGGCTTGTTACGCTCGGCACATTTCGACGTGAATGGCTAATCTTGCGTGAACACCCACCTTGTGATGAAAAGTTTAATAAAGTTTTGGTGCTAAAACGTCCAATTTGGTGCTGCGTTTCCAACGGCACGTCAGTCATCGGAACTCTTTGAATTTTTCTGCAAAAGCGAATAAAATGTGTTGTGATTGTTCTGAAACGGCTTTTCTCATTTTTGTCGAAAATCGCTTCTTTCCAAGCACAACGGCCAATCGCAAATATAACATCTTTTCACATAAGTCAGCCCAACAAGGAAGGCCTTTGGAATTTCACCTCCAAAAATTTAGGTATACGATTATTTTTCCAGTGTAGGAAATTAAGGAAACTGTCAAGAGATCTATATTTCGTAAGAGTTAAAGCACATGGAAACCTGTTGGAAATCATATACACATTGATTTTTGGGTATCGATTTGAACTTAACGCAACTATACTCTTATGGGAAAAAGACCTAGGAAGAGAAGACCTGCAGTCGGAATTGTTAGATTACTGAAAGGATGGATCTCGTCGCGAAGCACGAATGAAGATTTACGTCTGTTTTGTCGCTTTAAGCGGCAACCCATCGTTGTGAAGCGAGACACAGCTATAAAAAGGTATAACGCTCATGCTAATAAGAAGTAAAAAAGTGTCACGTAACTCTAATTATATCCCTTGTTGTTACTCATTGAATACAATTACCCTTCCTATAGTATGAAGCGTCTCTTTGGAGATTGATGCGGCACTGTTTCGTACTGACTGAACCCATTATTTTAAGTTTGAGCACACAAAATTTATAATTTTTGAGCAGATTTTCAGCATTTGTAAATTTGGCGAGTAGGTACCAGAGAAAAATTTTTGTATTTAATCGTCTAATTTGCCGCACTCACCACAACTACATGGCTGCACTCAATAGTACCTATTTGTATTGGGAAGAAAATGCACAAAATTCGCTGCACAAATAAATATAGGCTCATAAAATTCATATTTAATTGCGTCAACATGAACACTCCTCCTGAAATCTGAAAGGATGAAAAAGTTTTGTAAAGCATACACACACCCATTGTTGATTGATGAACTGTTTTAATTAGTTTAGTACGAGAAAGTGTTTGTAGCGGTGAAAGTATAGAGGCACAAAACAAAGGTGGAATAAGGGAAAAAGTGGAATTTGGTAAGATAGCTATATCGTCACCAGATTAGAGATTATAGCACATTGACTTTAATGACTCATAACATTTATATCATTGTGAGATATTCATGTTGGCACGCAATTAGAAAATAACTGACGCTTTTGAATACTTCATGTAGCACAATGAATTATTTTGTTGAGTGCATTCGAAATAATACAACTTGTGTGTGCAACACGATATGAGTTTATTTCAACATATTAGCGTCCAAAAAATTTCCGAGAATCGCTTTTCACACGCTCAATCTTACTTATCTGCTACGTGGGATGGAGAGTCAATCCACGTTAGCTGTAAAGTCAGTGCATCTCGGCCCCCTCAAAACATCAAATGAAGAGCGAATACAGGCTTGTGTTTACTAGGGTGAGCAAAAGTTCTTGGGGAAATTTTGAAACCTTCATCTATTGGCTTTTTTATGTCGTTTTTCATTGATAGTTTTCGTATACACTTATCTAATTCATT